TCAGCTTTGGATCTCTAGTCCCTAGCCAGAATGCTCGGGAAATGTTTGCTGGGTCGTTTGCTTGCTGCGTGACTTTGATCCACGTAGCCTTGTGGCTTGGATTGGCATGACTGCCACCTCACCAATACCCATCTATTAAATCTACTTGAGATCTTCTCAGTTTTCCCACTGAAGGTCTTTCTCGTAGAACCAGCCTGGTCTGAGGCTGTCCTTCGCCGGCATCTCATCATTAAGTGTTGCCGGGCTTTGTGTGGTCAAGGACCACAGGTGCCCCCTGCTGCTACCTGCGGGGAACTGCCTGCCCCTTTGTCCAGTGGACGGGGACTCATTCCCCAAAGCCTGGAAGAGTTAACACCAGCTTGGAGGTTGTCTCGTAGCTGCCAGGTTGGTCTTAGTTTTTAGTCCTTGAAGCTGGAGTCACCGTAAGGTCCGTGAATGAACTTGACTTACCCACGGCAGCTTCTTAAAAAGTGTGGCACAGAACGTGGTGAGAGGCGCTTACAGGTGTTCGTCTGCTTTGAGCAGCTCATTTTAAAGTATATTTCTTGCTCTTTTCACCAATGACTACAGGATTTGGGAAAGAGGTATCAGATGTTCTCTGCCGGGACTGCTCTTCAGCTGGCTTCCCTGGGTGAAGAGGGGGAATCACACTTCTCCCATAAGACGGACACTTGGTAGCTGGTAGTGCCAAGTGCTACACCTGGCAGCTGGTGTCCTCGACAGCTGTCATTTCAAAGGCTGGGCCCTTCCCCAACTGACAAAAATTGTTCCAGTTAAGTCAGCCACCGTCACCACTGAAAAGGCCAATGCGGCTTCTTGGAAGACTCCTGAAGGCTGAACAAACCCCTTCCTAGGGAGGAGAATACTGGATCCAGCTACCTCTGCGGCCAGTGAGTGGGAAACTTGGCAAAACCCTTTTTGCCTGCTAGGTCCAAGATGTGTTTAGAGAAGAAGACATGAAAAACAAGCAGTATCTCTCACCAGATTTGTTCTAGAGGTCACCTTATCGAGCACTGAGATACCTAAGAGCAGTCTTCAATTCATTGTTAGGGTGGTTGCAGAAATACAGAGTGCTTTTCTGTCTACAATGGCAGGAAATTGGGGTTTTGGAAATATTGCTTCTAACTTTGGAGAGGGGTAGTAGAGAGGAGAGAGACAGAGAGAGAGAGAGAGAGAGACAGAGAGAGAGAGACAGAGAGAGAGAGAGAGAGAGAGAGAAAAGAAGAAGGTAAGGAAATTAAAAATGTTCCAGAAAAAAAGAAAGACTTATGGTGTTGTTATCTTTGTTATATTTACCAGGGAGTTTGGTAATGGGATCCACATGAGAAAGGTGATTCTCTTTGAGAAGCAGGCCAACAGAATTATAGATAAATAATATAATTTTATATGTATAAATAGTCCAACAACATAACCTTCAACTGAGGCTCCTCTGTTTAAAGTAATATGTGATGTGTTTGTTTTGGACTCCACATGCTACAAAGGAGACTGATGATTTTGGACAGTGCTCTCTGGTTTCTTTACAAACATAGTTATAGGTAACTTCCCTATGTTCCCATATTCTACAGCTCTATTTTAAAATTTTTTTTCTCAAATATTAAGCATCTATTTTTTTCTTCCTCCCCTACAACTGAAAAAAAGAAAAACAAAATGAAAACCCTTGTGACTAACATAATCTAGCAAAACAAAAAAATTCCCACATTGGCCACGTGCACAGATCTATGCCTCACTGTGCATGTTCGTCTATCCTCTTTCCATTGGTAGATAGAGTGTCATGCTTCATCATCAGTCCTCTGGAATCATGATTGATTATTGAGTTGATCAGAATTCTTAAATCTTTCAAAATTGTTCATTTTTACAATATTGATGTTATAGTATAATTTCTCCTGGTTCTACTTACTTTACTCTGCATCAGTCCATACAGGTCTTCCAGGTTTCTCTAAAGCCATCCCTTTTGTCATTTCTTACATCACAGTAGTATTCCATTACATTCATATGCCATTAATTTGGAACAAGCTTTCCCTGTTTGATGGGCAGCCCCTTAGTTTCTAGTTCTTTGCCAATATAAAAAAGAGCTATAATAAAAATTTTGTACCTGTGGGATCCAGAGTGTTATCAGAGAAGTATGAGAAGTTGAATTTCTTGTCTTGTTGGATGTTGGTATAACTAATGCATAATAACCTTATAGCATCTTAAGTTTCCATCCCCCCCTATGTTTTCTAATGAGGGCAGAATGTTCTTGCTTTATTCAAATGTCCTTTCTTTTGTATTTGAAAGTTGATCCTGATCTTTTGCAGAATTTGTTGTTTCTAAATTGAATTGTTCAATTTAACCACTGCGTATCTTGGAGTTTGCAGCCTTGGGTTTTTGTTTTTGTTTTTGTTTTTGTTTTTTTTTCTGGAGGTGATTTATGAATTCTTTCCATTGGTATTTCATTTTCTATGTTCAGAGGTTCTGGGCAGTTTTTTTCTATTATTTCCTGCATTATGATGGTAAGGATTTTTTGTCCTGTCTTGTTCTTCTGTGAGACCTTTGATGTTTAGGTTGTCTCTCTGAGTCCTGTCTTCGAGATCAGTACATTTTCCTTGTATAGTGAACATATTTTCTTTTAATGTTACTGCTTTTTGCTTCTTTTCTTTTAGATTGTCCTTCACTTCCATATATTTGCATTCCCTGTCTATTGTTTTCTCTTTTTGTTTCTTTGGTGAGACTTTCCAGTTTTTCTATTCTGCCCGTTATTTTTGCTATGCAGGCTATAAATTATGTTCTCATACTTCTCATTTCTCTTTTGAACCCCTCAGGAACAGCATGTTATGATTCTATGTTCTCACTTTCCACATGGTCCTCTGTTTTCATCAAGTGCTGTATCATTTTCCCTTATTTTACATTATTTATTCATAGGTGCCTCAACTTGTTTAATAGATCTGGAGGCTATAGTTCTTTCTATTGTTAATGTTTACCTATTGATTTATCTACTTATGTCCAGGGTCTTTGAGTTGTCTTCTTCCTAAGATTTTTGGTAATTTCAGACTCCCCTTTCCCCACCCCCAGGTTTGTTACTCACGTGACCTGGAAGTGTGTATCCTAAGTTTCAACAAAAACAGTTTAAAAGTCCTGGGAAATTTGTTGAAGATGCCAGGAAGATCTTTTAGTCCAAATTGTTGTAGACTGCTGCAGAATACAAAACAGGATAAGACCTTGAATATGAGCTTTCTTGGGGAAAAGCCAGCCAATTAAGGGCAATACTTGGGAGTTCAGAGCTACCTATCTTATTAAGATTCAAAATAGAAAGAATTGTAGTATCTTTAGTATCACTGCAGTCATAATGTAGATTGTCCTGGCCATGAGTAATTTTGTAATTGGAAGGACAAGGAGATCATTTGCTGAGAGGGATGAAAGAGATTTTTTATCTAGAGTCTATCAGTCCATGGTTATAGGGATGAGAAGCAGATTCTCACAGCTAGGAAAACCATCAGCTCTAAATATCAGCCAACCCTAGCTCCTCAATGTCTGCCTTTTCCTTTTGTAATGTATCCTGTCATTGTTTTTAATGCTCCAGATACTTGTACCTCCTTCTGTACATTCTCCCTATTCCTTTGCTTATGGCATTCTACATGGCTAGAACAAACCTTCCTTTCTCACCCTCATCACTTATCCCATATTTATCTGTTGAAGTCACTCCTTTCAAGCAAGTCAGATGCCACCTCCTCTATGAATCCTTCTCTGGTCTCTTCAGATGACAGGACTCTCCCTCTCCTCCTGTTTCTTATACCATTTTCCTTGGGTGATGATGATGATGATAACAACTAACATTTACATATCAGACACTGTGTTTTACAAATATCATCTCATCCTCACAGCAACCCTGGAAGTTAGGTGTAATTATTATCCTGATTTTACAGTCAAGGAAACTGAGGCTAACAAAGGGTAAGTGATTTGCCCAAAGTCATACAACTAGTAAGTGTCTGAGGCTGGATTTGACCTCAGCTCTTCTTGACTCCAGGCCCAGAGTTCTATCCAAGTACCATGATTATTTGTATGTTTGTTTTTCTTTTCTCCTATTAGATTAAAAGTTCCTCTAGAATGGGGCCTATTTTGTCTTTATTTTTGTATCCACTCCAGCTATTTGCATCCAAGCAGTTGCTTAATAAAAGTATAATTAATTAACACATAGTTTCATAATTTGTTATTCTTATCTTATGACATGCCTCCACTATTCATTGGCCTGAGTCTCACCTATTGTGGTAGTTTTTCTCTCCTCCACTCCCTACTTCTGGCCCCTACTCCCTCCACAGCTGAACTGCTTCCAACTGGCTAGAGCAGACCCTAGGGTTCATCCCTTCTTTGCAAGCTTGGGTGAAAAGCTGCCATCCAAGCACCAATCTGGGGACAAGCCTTGTTGTGTGCTCAGAGCAGCATTTGATTTCACAACTGAAGTCCCCACAATTCCTGAAGCAAGAGGAAAATCAATGCTCTGCTATAAAACTGTCCAGGATCAAGCTGCAGGATAGAAATGGCAGTAGCTGGACTCCTAGTCTATCAGAGGGAGCCAGTGACTATAAAAGCCCATCTATATTGGAAAAGCGGTCATGGAAAGGAAAAACTTAGAGCTGCTTTCATTTTCTTCATTTCAACTCAAAATCTAGCAAACAGAGGCTGTAGAGAGAAGCTGTGTCAGAGAGCCTCTTCTAGATACACAGGGTGCTTTGTACGGCAGACAATAGGCTCCGGGTGCTTGACTGATAGTAAGCTGCCTGAAGGCAGCGTGCATGTGTCCTCCCTACCCCACGTAGCACTGGGGACAGTGTCACATGCTGTAAGCACTCAGGGAATAAATGTTCCGCACTGTGGGAGAAATGCATTAGGATCAGAACTGACCACACCTCAGTGTGACCTATGTTTGGCCAGGCAAGAATACTCCCTGGCTTCCTGGCTACATGTTTCTCTTTTCTTGCCTTGCTTCAAAAGTAAGATTCACCTTCTTCCCCCCTGCTTTTCTTTAGGTGACTCTGGGCTCAGAGGGCAGAGAAGGGGAACTTTTGGTGAGAGGCCCTACAGTATTTCGAGAATATTGGAACAAGCCTGAAGAAACCAAGAGTGCTTTCACACCCGATGGCTGGTTTAAAACAGGTATGAACCACTTATGCTTTTCATGTACTCAGTCTGAAAAGAGGATTCACTGAGAGGTGGTTTAGGGAGAGTGGAAAGGGCTACGACCTCAGCCTGGTCAGAAAGCCCAGGGATGAAATTTACTGGATGTGTGATTTTGAACAAATTCCCTTACTTTTCTGTGACTTAGTTTCCTTATTTGTAAAATGAGTATGATTGTATTTGTACTACTTACCTTACAAGGTTGGGAGGAAAGTTTTTACACACATACAAATGCACATACGTGCAGTGTGGTTTTTAAAAATATATATGTTTTTAAAGTCCCAAGAGTCTTAATGCCATTTTAAGCTATTAAGACATATACCTGTATGTTCATATATGTGTATATGTACTTGTATATCTGCATATACACACAGGGTATCTAGAAAATATTGGTGTAGTGTCAAGCTTAAATTGTGTGTGCTTATATACATATGCATGTGCACACGTGTGTATACACATGTTAACATAATTGTGATGGTGTATGTAGGCATTGTACATGTGTGTATGTATACATGCATGTATTGATATAGTATGGTGATTGTGCATGCACACGTGTTGCATGCGTGTGTGTGTATATATACATGTGTTACTATATTCTGAGGATGAAGAAAAAGAGGACATCAGATACTGTCTTGCATTCTTTCTTGGGGATCAGCCCTGGGTTCCCTCTTAGAGCATCTCTGAAGAACATAGGCATGTAGTAGGGAAATATCATGACCAGATGAGGTGAGGTGACCTAATTCCATGGAGCAAGGTAAAATGGAAGTGTCTATGATTGACTCATGTGGGTCCTGTCTATGAGTTCTCTCTGACTTTCAGATTCAAAATGGAGACTACTCCAGGAGCTTCACCTCTCCAGGTACCTGGGAACATGACTCACTTTCCATGATAGATATGTTTTCTGAAAAGGTCTATGGAAATTAAATCATTTTGGATGCATCACAAAGAATGCTCTTGAAATGCAAGTGATCACCCTGACCCATCCATGTAACAAACAAAACTCGCTGGTTTTGTAAATCATCTTTTCTTATATCAGGTGGGGCTGTTTTTTTTTTTTATTTTGTTTTTTAAAGTGAGGCAGATCTGCATGAAATTTTGGTTGGCTCCATTTATGGGTCATTTTGGACTCTAGGCTCTAATTGCTCATCGAACAGGCCAAATCAGTGAGATCAGCTCATGGGTCATTTCTTGGTCTTCTCTTTCTCTCCCACTCTACCCCCATGACCCCAGTGGAATGGGTCTTGGGTCTATCTCTTCATAATATCAAAAGCCTCGCACCATAAAGAGCCCTATTCATTCCTTCCCTCTGACCCCTTCCTGCTGCTCACTGGGATCTGAAACAATTTTCATCTGGGTAGCACAGAGGATAGGGTATTGGACTTGGACTTAGTAAGTTGTTGTTCAGTCATTTTTCAATCGTGTCCGACTCTCCATGACCCCATTTGGGGTTTTCTTGGCAATGATACTGGAGTGGTTTGCCATTTCCCTTTGAATCTCACTTTACAGATGAGGAAACTGAGGCAAATAGGGTTAAGTGACTTGCCCAGGGTCACCTACCTAGTGTCTGAGGCCAGATTTGAACTCCAAAAGATGAGTCTATCTCATCTGACTCCAGGCCCAGCGTTCTATCCACTGGGCCACCTAGCTGCCCTGGGGTTAGTAAAACCTGAGCTCAAATGCTGGCTCAGTCACTTATTAGCCTTGTGATCCTGGGAAAGTGATTTAACCTTTCCTCATCTATAAATGGGGTTAATAATAACACCTCCCTCACAGGGTTGTTGTGAAAATCAAGTTAGATAACCCATGTAACAAGCACCATAGAAATGCTGGCTATCATCAGCATTATTATTATTTTACTTAACATTTTTCCATACATTAAAACCTCTTCTTCTATGTAGCCTAGCAGAGGCAAACCTGATCCATTATTTAAAGTAATGAAGGATGAAGGTGCGTCATGCAACACTTGTCAGCCAGAGTCAAAGAGAAGCCAGGATTAATTTCCATAGGATCTCAGAAGCTGTTTGTTTTGTTCATTTGAAGATGTCACGGCACCTCTGCAATTTACATGCAGGTCTCATTCCTGCGATGTCAGTGTGTCCTTTCAACTTGGAGCATTTGAGGAACATCTGCTTCCAGGCTGGCTCCCAGAGCAGAACGTGCTGGGGGAACCTCTTCTCTCCTACCCCCTCATTCCTCCCTCCAATCCCCTCACACACTCTCTCAGAAACTGATCAGGGCCTAGTCCTTTGTCGATGAGAACAGAATGATGCTGTCAGAAATTAGAAGGGATCTCCAGTTTTTTGCCTCTTCGTAACTCACCAGTGCTGTAATCAGAGAAATGCTCCCACCATTCATTTGACAAATCGTATCACAGAATTTCCATTGTGGAAGGATCCTCTCTCCATGGCCATCTAGTGCAACTTAAATCCCAAGAAGAATCCCCACTTACAACATACCTGGTAGGTGGTTATCTAGTGTAGACTTCTGATGAGGGGGAACGCACTATGTCCCAATCCACTTACATTCTATTTGTTAGGGTGTTTATCCTGACATCAAGCCTTGATGTCCTAAGTCAGTGTCCGTTTGGAGACAATTGTTGATCCCACTGACCCAGTAAACTTGTACAAAGAAATGGCCACAAATAGGAAGAAGGGCCAGCATTTAGAACAAAACCCAATCCCACTCCTTCCTGAGGCAGAGGGGGTGGGGAGAGGTTGGTGAGATTTAACCTGATGTCTGTGAACTTTTAAAAAAAATATTTTGGTAGCTATTTCAATATGATTGATTTCCTCTGTAGTTCTATGTATTTTATTTTCTGCATTTTCAAACGTAGTTCTGAGAAGAGGCTTCACCGGACTGACAGAGGGTCCATGGCAGCAAAACAGTTTAAGAAGCCCTGCTCTAATGGGCCCACTCCCCAGAGCTGATCTTGTCCTGCTTCTGCCACCACACCTAATAGGAAGGCAGACCCTTAATCCATTCCACCTTGGTTTCCATGACTGTAGAGCAAGGGCATGAGAAGGGAATGCTCCTGCGATTTGCTTCACAGGATTGCTAGAAGAAGTTTGCAAGGAAAAGGAGCAATCCTTACTTAACTCTACATGTTCTCTCTGCACCACAGAAGAGTCCATTTTTAGAAACTTTAGACTCAAGATGCATTCTGTAAACCCCTTCCTGGTTGCCATACACAAAGCCACCTCACTGCTTGAAAAGGGTTCTGCAAATCATTCCCTCCCACCCACTGCAGTAAACCCTACCCTTCCTGCCTTCCCTATCCCAGACATGGTCTCCTTCCACCTCCTTGTTCTGGCATCAGACCAGCAGCCTGGCCCCACTGCAAAGCTGGAGAGGGATTGGGATCTTCTTGTGATAAAGGTGCATATGTGGATGAGAGAAGAGAGAAGTGGTTGTGCTTGTTTTTAATAGTAAATAATATAGTTCCTGTGGCCTCCTTGGAAGAGATTGTTCCTGGTGCTCCGGTCTCTCAGGGATTCAGATTATATTACTGCTGTGGCCAGAGCCTTCCTCTTGAATGACTAGAGCTCTTGGTAAGGGCCAATGAATGAATGCAGGGCCAGGAGTAGAAACTCAGGAGTGAGAGCCCTGCAGGCTCCCCTTGGATAGCAGGGAATCCCCACCACTCCTGAGGTCCTCTTGAATCTCAGAGCTCCCACCCTAAAACAGGGAGGATGTGTCCCACTCTGCCTTCCTGTGATGAAGTACCCCTGCGAAGGCAGGCCGGATTGGGGTTTGCACAAGTCCTTAATTGTCTTCTCTCCCCCTCTGACCGGAACCCCACCCAGGCACACACAGATTCCCATCCCTATCTTTCCTCTCCTCCTCTCCTTTCCAGCTCAGGTCAGAAAGAGTTAGGTTAGCCTACCTGGTGAAGGTGAGGAGGCAAAAGTGTATCTCCCTCCCTGTAAGAGGGTCTGGGCTCCATTTTTTACTGGCTTGAAGCAGAGAAGGATAGGGTTTACTGAACTGCAAGAGGATTATTTGTAGAATTCCGCAGGGTTTGGAGGATGGATGTTTATCCCTAACCCCCAGGGAAAGTGGGTTCAAGACCTTTCTACCTACCACCCCAGAAATGTATTTCATATATATGTGTGTGTGATATTTATATTATAAATTTATGTAATATCACATATAATATAGGCACACACATTTATGTCTATGCATACACACAGTTCTCTGAAGTGCCTAAAAAAATAGAATGTCATATATGGCAAAATAAAAACACAGATAGCTCTATTCCTAATAGATTCGCCCCAGTACCAGAAGTTCTTTGGTACTTGAAAGCTTCTGGTAAATAAATACCTTTGCATTAATTTATTCGCTGATGCCTCTGTCCATGGTGGCATACTGTTAGCTTATTGACATGCGTTCTACTGTATGTCCTGTTTTTCTTTTGTTCATTCCACCTCATTAAAGCAAGCTAATCTAATGGATACAGAACTCCGCTTTTATTATGATTTTAATTCCGTATATAAGAACCGTAGCATTGAAACTACTTCCCATTTTCATCTTAGTGTATCACTGCTGCAGCATCACAAATACCCCAGAATTGGAAACTTGACTTTCCAGTGAGACTCCCTTTGTGGCCATCTTCCTTTATTTTTAACTTCAGATTTAAAAAAACAACAACAACAACAACAACAAAAACCTGCAAATATTTTTTTTCTCTTCCTTTAAAAACACTGGAACTGAAACCCTGTGAATTTTGCCAACAGCGAGGTTCAGTGAGTTGATGATGGCAGTAAGCAATGGGAAATGTGGGGCAGTCAGCTTTAAAAAAAATTTTTTTTAGTCAACACTCCTGATGAATATTTCAGTTGAAAAGGAATAGCATGCATTAATTATTGTAAAGAGATGTCTTTAGGAGAAAATGATTTTGAAATTCAGTTTAATTTCATTGTAATGCGCTGCAAACAGGAAGGGAGTATGTGTGTTTAATTGGCTCTCGGGGGTAAGGCCTG